CACAAAATTGTCGATCAGAATCGTTATGGAAAGAAGAAAACTCAATGTTTTGATCGTTGAAGAAGTGATAATGCAGTGTGCTTCACCGCAATTGAAGTTGATGACCCCGATCATTTGTTTATATCCGGGGTCATTACACTGTCCAGACATCACGCGATGCGATGGCGTGTGGTGTGAAAAACTTAATCAGTTGCTATTGTTTTACACGGGACGTTACTTGTAGTGTGAGATTTGATATTGTTTCTGTGACGTTCACGGTAAATTCAACACAATGCACACTTTTTAGGTCGGGCAGACCGGATTACTAGACAGCGGACGTGGTGCAACTGGTCGGATGGTCGATGTATTCAGTGTGAATATTGGACTTGGGGCCGATCAATGCGGTCGGTGTTCGGAGTAGACAGTGGTCGGATTTCACAGGTTGTTTTAACATAGGCGTCTATGGAGAAATTTCGGGACTACATAAATCGGTCGGTTTTGACAGTAGGTCGGTTTATCCAGGGGTCGGTTTTGACAGGTTTTACTGTATATATAATAATATATATAATAATATATATAAAAATATATATATATTTTTTTAAATGTAATTTTGATTAACATTATTTGCTAAATACGTGTCGTATAGTATTATTGTATATATATATATAACAAAAAAACACTATTGATAAATCACAATTTGCGCATTGCAGTAAATGTCAAATACTGCTGTAGCATTGTGACAATTCTGTTCTATTCAACTTCACAAATACGACCAAAGTAATTATTTATAGAACAGACGCATTAATATTTAAATTCCGCAAATTCCAAGTGACATTGGTTAATCAACATTAACAAAGTAGAAGTGAGTTAGAGGTGTCAGTGAGAATCGTGTGTCAGTCCATCTACTCAGTCGTTTGAATAATTATTACTCGCAATTTAAAGCAAGTGTGTTTGTAGTTTGGTTTCCATTACGTAGGAACAGGAATGCCATTGATTCCACTAAATTAATATGAATGGCGTGCTAGAAATAAAGCAATCGATAAATTTCCAAAAAACGTTTATTGACATTTCGAACCCTTAGTTCGGTTGTAAAGATCATTTATCTTATGTATGGTTCAATATTTGATCGATATCCGAATGCAAATCCATATATTCTCGAGGCGGACATCCGGGCATTTTCACCACCTGGCAATCACCACAGGTGAAAACAAAGATCGAAAACTCTCAGGAAACTGTACTTTTGACTAATGTTTGAGACTTTTCTGATTGTGAAACAAGACTACCCCTACATGTGCATCATCTATAAATTTGGTCGCTCAGGAGTTACATTATACAGTGCTGCGAGTCCAAGCAACAAAGAACGTTCTGTGACGTAGCTCCGCCTCGAGGATACAGTAAAAGTAATTCACTAGGCATACATGTTCTAACAACTAGTGTCACTAGTATATGACTTGGATGATTGACACACATATTTTGAGAGCCAATGTCAGCTGATTGGCATGTTTCCACGCAGAAATAAGATTGAAGAAAGAAACGCGAGACTGTAAATTCTCACAAACAGGAAATGTCAAACCCGCGGGCTATAATTAAATAAATTTATGAAGAAAATACGTTGTATGTGTTACTACTGTGTATAATTATCACGCCAGAATTTGATAATATATTCATGCGCGTGCTCAAATTGACACCTGCAAGTGCCTCCTATATATTGAACCACTTTTCCCTGGCAATCGGCTTCTACCATAAGCAATCCCGGGTTTAGGAGGATATCATTTGAAGTACCATTCGAACAAGACACCAACAGTGAGTAGTCAGTTATCAAGACCAAGTTGCCAGTATAATGTGTATGTTTTAGGACGTATATAGATAGTTATGATTCTGTTTAGTATATTATTCCGAGTAGTAGAAATAACTGTTTTTGTGTTGTGGTGTATTGTGTTTACCGGTGCTGTGCCGCGTGCGATTGTGCGGTAGTGCACGGTGCATGTAACGTTATGAAAACATCTATTGGGACATATTATTGGTGATATTCCCCCTTATGCTCTTAGCAACAGTTTATAAGCACTAACTTTCATCACGAGTAAAATTTGGTGAGCAGAGTTTTGCGAGTCAACAAAATTTTGCTGACCAAAATCAGAGAAAGATTTTTTGTTATAGTGTGTACAAAATTTCTATTTGAAAATGATAAGGGCCTAGACATTGAAACAGATAGGGTGGCTAGAAGAGTCAATTTTGTTCACCTTTTTACAATAAGGATTCCGTGTCTGATTTGGTGAAAAACATTCTGCTGACTTGCATTCGCCTACCGAATGATCTCACCGACATTTTTCTAACCGTATTCTGCTCACCACTAATTCAACCTACCGGTTCATGGCGTGGCCGAGTAGCTTCATATTAAATCAGACATACGATGCTTTTATAGTGTTACATTACACATTAACGATTTATAGCTACTATTGACAAAACTCAATATGTCTTCAATATTCAGAGTGACATCTGCTGGGTTCAATTACCCACAATGCCTCTGAGTTATGGTTCCGGTTTTACGCAATTGTAATTTTGAGGAGTGGTGACCACATTTTCCTGATGTAGACGTATGCATATAGTTCGTTCAATCTACTTTTGGTAAAACAAAATCAGTGTTTTGTCTTTTAAATCCTTGAAGAATCACGTGGTCTTGCGTGAATTGAAACACTAAGTATTATATTTGTAGTATTCTTGTAGATTTATTATATTATAATTGGATCAAATGTCAAGGAAATTAACTGTTCATGCACTAGTTAAGCTGTGAAAATAATCGTTGTATTTTGTAGGTACATTTCTAGCCGATACAGCGTCATGCCTGGTTTGATAAATCGACACACGCGGAATCCTTTGCCGCTGCACAATTGTAGGATAACGGGCTGTGTAAATGGTTACTCTGCGGGGATCACTGCCTACCTCACATACTGCAACGATGAGGACCACTTGGTCGATGGATTATACGTTATGCCTACCACTGAGTTCAGTACTGTGGTGGCGTTTGAAGCCCAAGTTTACGGTAGAAATTATACCGCTTCCATCCGTGAGAAGAGTAAATGTGAATGTGTTCTCAGCGAAACTCCCAGCATCACTAGCGGCCACATGTGCCTAAATCAGGGGAAGTTTGTAATCAATGAATTCGACGAGACTCGTGTATTTGCAGCCACGGTTGGGACTATTCCGCCGTTTGGTACTGTCACTCTATTGATCAGTGTTGTATTCGAGTTAGAAATAACAAAAGATGGTGCTCTTCTTTTCAAACTTCCCTCTGTGTTTACACCTCGCTTCTCGCCCCCAATCCTTCCAGACCAAACCAGCCTTATCAGTTTCTCGTACACTGGACCAGATGAACGTGCACATGCAAACAGTTTGGGAAGCCTGCTTGAAATTGCCACTGACATACCTTTGAACACAATTAAGTATGAATTTGAATTTCAATTGGAGATCAAGGCCCCTGGCTTATTGTCTGGCGTATCGAGTTCAACTCACTCTATCCGAGTTGACGCTGATCCCTTAGCCGTTGATGCCTCTGACGTATTCGTCACCCTTGCGGAACCGCATGATTTCAAGAAAGACTTCAGAATGATGATATATCTGGCAAAACCACACGAACCGTCAGTGGTAATAGAACTTGGTGACATGACTGGAACCGAGTACGTGGAATTTCTGAAAACTACCGAAGATTTTTCAAATCTTGATAACAAAGAAGACAAGACAATAGACAAAGACAGAGTGACGAAGCTACGGAATCGGCTTCATCGAGACATCATGCACGTTCCTGTTATCATGCTCAATTATTCGCCGGATTTCCGTGAACTTGAAGACACGTTAAATAAAAAATTCGAAGTGCCTAGTGAGTTTATCTTTGTCATCGATCGGAGTGGAAGTATGAGTGGTGCTAACATTGCAAACGCGCGGGAAACGCTAATGCTGTTCATGAAGAGCTTGCCAATGACTTGCCAATTCAATATAATCGGCTTCGGTTCCAGCTTCAAGCCTTTGTTTGAATGCAGTCGCCCATACACCCAGGTAACAATTAGCGAATGTAGTCAGTATATAACGAAGATGAAAGCAGACATGGGTGGCACTAATTTATTCTCACCCTTGGAGTGGATTTACAAAAAGCCGATTTGCCGTGGATTCCCTCGCCACGTGTTTGTTCTAACGGATGGCACAGTCAACAACGTACAACAGGTGATTGAACTAGTCAAGAACAATTCACATAATACAAGGTAATAATTGAAAATTTATTAAGATTCTATCGTTCATATATCTTCTATTGTATATTACATGACGATAATTGGTCATAATGGTGTTTGAAGCGACGCTGTAATCGTGACTGGGCACGTGCACGCAAATAGCTTGTACTGTGTGTAGGTAAAATGCTCGCGCAAGGCTCATTTGATATTTGCGTGGGGATATTTTACAACCAGTTGAATAGTTAGCCAAATAATATCGACGTTGGACGCTTTTGACTGAAGAAACGTTAGTATGAAGACATTTCTGGGATTTAAACTCCGATGAGAGTTAAATGCCGAGGCCGTAAGCAGGAGTCTGAGTAGGAGGGTTTTGTACTCGACTTAAAATCTGCCACAAAAAGCCATCTTAAATGACTGGCATCGAGGTTTCTCAAGGGACAGCGTGTATCCAGATCGTATCTATGTTTTCGAACCAATCATTGATGATTTTTAAGCTTGTCAAGGGTCTCCTCAATAATGTTACTTATTTCTATAAATGTCGATATACAAGTCCTAGGACAATTTATGACAAGAAAGAGTTTCGGCATGATTATAGTTGTTGTTATGGAAACCGGAGAGTTGAAGTGAGAGGGTCGTCACCTGCGCACGCGCGGGAATTGAGTCCCAATCGACGATAACAACACACGCTAAAAACGCAAAGGCTTATGGTTGGATGCTTGTTTGTAAACAATGACACGCCATGGCCATCTGACGCATGCGCAGGTGACGACTTCCCCGCTTTAAAGCATAATAAGTATTGTGGCGAAGCAATTGGTGATTTACCGTTCACCGCGAGATCGCGGAATACGTGAAAGGCACCGACAACATCTAATGATTTGATTTTGAATTTGAATCTCAGAGTGAATTATAGCGTTGGGATTCTCATCTTTCATCGAAATTGACATCACATATAACATTACATTGTGAATATTATATGAATCGCCGTCGATCAGTTTTCTAAGTTATGTAGGTATTGTGTGTAGTTAGTTTATTTGAAGAGAATTAACACACTGGATATTATTCTCTTTCATCCCTGGGTATTTTTCATTGTATAATTATATTTTGTGACCTTGAATTTGTTATGGGAACAGAACTCATTGGTACTCATGCCATACTCGTTTACCGAAACATCTCTTATAATACTTCAAGTTCAAGGCTCCAGGCTCACTTACAATTACAAAGTTCTACTCTGCACGTGCATCAAATTTCATACGAATAATTGTTTCCTTTTTAGAAAACAAGCTCCGAGCATTTCCTTATAACCACATTTTGGTGAGCGTCACTACCGCCGTGATTCCATTGCTTAATTTCTTGATGGATTGGATAGTTGAAATAAATAACGCTAATTGCATTAGTGCCCTCTAGCGGCAAAGCGCTCTTATGACGTCAAACTAACGTAGACAGTTTAATCAATGGCATTTATATAGACAACTCTAATCGATAGTTATACTCAATTACGTCACAGTGGAGCTTCGACGCTAGATGGCGCGACTTATTACAATGGCGGATTTTGTGCGTTTTCCAATCATATCAGCGGAACATGATTTACATTCCTCCTATTTTCTCACACTTATTTACTATTGTAACGGCACGTGTTCTTTTACATGGAATATGTTATTTGATTGCAATCTTATTGAAAACGAGTATTCTCATTAAATCTGCACATTTGATCATTTCAGTGAATTTACACACACACTTCAACACTAATGAGTATATTAGAAAAAGATATTCGATTTTTCTTCAAGCCTTTCTTGGTCATACGTGATCTTTTCATCGTGACATGAGGCTTTCAAAACACATCAGCAAATAAAGTAATTCGTGATATATTGTAAGGGAAGTTACGACGCAATTGTAATCCGAGACACAATCCGCTTCTGGCGATAAAACTACACAGCGCTCGCAGTAGCAATCTAACTATAATATGAATAATTGGTACAAATGTCTATAACAGAATGCAATTCGTCGTGTCTCATGTCGCACACTAATCTGTAGCGCAACACAAGCATTTTAATGATCAACATTAAGTTGGAATCATCCCTAAAGGATATAGATGTACGGCAATTACGAGAAGAAAGAGTTTTATTCTTGTATCCGTGACGAAAAGAAAACTAAATCCCGCATCGCTACCAAATTACTCTAAAAATCATGAACGTACAACAATGATCAGAACGAAAACTTCATAACTGCCCCATTTTATCTATTATTGGAATCACATTGTAATGTGACATAACCAATTTTATGTAATGTGACATAACCAATGTTGTGTAATGTGACATAACCAATTTTATGTAATGTGACATAACCAATTTTATGTAATGTGACATAACCAATTTTGTGTAATGTGACATAACCAATTTTATGTAATGTGACATAACCAATTTTGTGTAATGTGACATAACCAATGTTGTGTAATGTGACATAACCAATTTTATGTAATGTGACATAACCAATTTTGTGTAATGTGACATAACCAATTTTATGTAATGTGACATAACCAATTTTATGTAATGTGACATAACCAATTTTATGTAATGTGACATAACCAATTTTATGTAATGTGACATAACCAATTTTGTGTAATGTGACATAACCAATTGTATGTAATGTGACATAACCAAATGTATGTAATGTGACATAACCAAATGTATGTAACGTGACATAACCAAATGCATGTAATGTGACGTAACCAATTGTTTGTGAGGTGACATACCAAATGGATGTAATGTTACATAACCAAATGTATGTAATGTGACATAACCAAATGTATGTAATGTGACATACCAAATGTATGCAATGTGACATAACCAATTTTATGTAATGTGACATAACCAATTTTGTGTAATGTGACATAACCAAATGTATGTAATGTGACGTAACCAATTGTATGTAATATGACATAACCAAATGTATGTAATGTGACATAACCAAATGTATGTAATGTGACATAACCAAATGCATGTAATGTGACGTAACCAATTGTTTGTGAGGTGACATACCAAATGTATGTAATGTTACATAACCAAATGTATGTAATGTGACATAACCAAATGTATGAAATGTGACATAACCAAATGTATGTAATGTGACATACCCAAATGTATGTAATGTGACATAACCAATTGTATGTAATGTGACATAACCAATTGTATGTAATGTGACATAACCAAATATATGCACTTTGGCAGCATTGTACTTCCATATACTCTCGGTGGAAAATTTTTCACGCATTTCCTATATAAAGAACGACCATAAGATATATCGACGTTGTTGCAGGTAGCGTTTATCAATGCGAATCAAATACATTCATGAATTTATGTCTGTCAGATTGGTCTTTTTATTATATAACTTGTATGGATTTTTTAATCGGCATAAGCAGTGTATGTCGAGGACAGAAGAATGATTGGGCTCAGATATCTGTCTTTACTATCTGTATTTCTCCAATTTGATGCATTCGTTACTTTACGTCGATGATGAAGGTAATAATTATAAATTGTAAGTAAATACCGTGTGTGGATGACGTGCAGAGACTCAAAATACGTTGACCTCAGTTAACATCACTGACAAGTAGAATCTCGAACAACATGTCGATCACGCATTTTTGTATTATTTAAAGAGATCACTCAGTTTCACTCAGTGATTTGCGTCTTCTTTAAACTGTCTCTGTGACTCCTGTGTGTTTTCCCGCGATTTGAGTACGACCAGAAGAGACAGAAGAGATACGCGTTACATATTTAGAAACACTAACATTCAGTAAACAAAAATGCAGCATGCTAATATAGATTCTTACCATATTACTTAAGACATCGCTTCTTGAGTATTCAGGATCCGTATTTAATTTTCATTATTCAAAAAAATCATTTGAGAAGAATTATTGAACAAATCTGGCGAATCTGATGCCAATCAAGTACGTTACATACTTACGGTCGTTGTTTGTTTATTTGTTCTGATATGTTCAACTGAGCCACGTGCCAGTAAATCATCGAGTATGTGTCGGTGTGGGTCAAAGGTCATGTATGATAAAGTGGGCAGGCGTGGGTTACGTGATATCATGAGTGGGTCACAAAATGTGGTGGCAGGTCACGACAACGTGAGTGAGTTCTCAGGCTTTGGTTACAGACCATTGTTAATATTGCGGCCATCGAATGTAAGTTACATTTCAAACCTAGTGTGAGGAAATCATCACGTGTGAGATACAGGTCATAACTAGTGTGTGAGAATCAACACGTGTGAGTTACAGGTCATACCCAGTGTAAGAGAATCATCACGTGTGAGATACATGTCACACCTAGTGTAAGAGAATCATCACTTGTGAGTTACAGGTCACACCTAGTGTAAGAGAATCATCACGTGTGAGTTACAGGTCATACCTAGAGTGAGAGAATCATGACGTGTGAGTTACAGGTCATACCCAGTGTAAGAGAATCATCACGTGTGAGTTACAGGTCACACCTAGTGTAAGAGAATCATCACGTGTGAGTTACAGGTCATACCCAGTGTAAGAAAATCATCACGTGTGAGTTACAGACCATACCTAGTGTAAGAGAATCATCACATGTGAGTTACAGGTCACACCTAGTGTGAAAGAATCATCACGTGTGAGTTACAGATCATACCTAGTGTGAGAGAATCATTACGTGTGAGTTACAGGTCACACCTATTGTAAGAGAATCATCACGTGTGAGCTACAGACCATACCTAGTGTGAAAGAATCATCACGTGTGAGTTACAGATCATAAATAGTGTGAGAGAATCATCACGTGCGAGTTACAGGTCATACCTAGTGTGAGAGAATCATCACGTGTGAGTTACAGGTCATACCTAGTGTGAGAGAATCATTACGTGTGAGTTACAGGTCACACCTAGTGTAAGAGAATCATCACGTGTGAGCTACAGACCATACCTAGTGTGAAAGAATCATCACGTGTGAGTTACAGATCATACCCAGTGTGAGAGAATCATCACGTGCGAGTTACAGGTCATACCTAGTGTGAGAGAATC